CAGCAGCAGCAGCAGCAGCAACACAAGATATAAATTGCTGCTGCAGCCAGGGACAGACCTGACGCTGCCTCACAAGTAGCACCAGCAGCTGCAGCAGCTGCAGCAGCAGCAGCAGCGAATCGTAGCAGCAGACAAGTAGAAATGCAGCAGCAGCAGCAGCAGCAGCAGCTGCCCATAGGTGGGCCTGTGAATGTCTCGTGCCCCCCGCTTGCTGCTGCAGAGCTGAGCAGCAGCAGCAGCAGCAGCAGCAGCAATGGGCTTCCTTCTTCAGCCCCTTCAGTACCCCCAGCAGCAGCAGCAGGAGCAGCAGCAGCAGCTGCTGCTGCTGCTGTTCCTTATAAACCAAACGATATATCTATTGCTGCAGCAGGCATGGGCCTCGAAGCAGGCAGCAGCAGCAGCAGCAAGCCCTCTGTTGAGGGTTTAGCAGCACTATCATCTGCTGCAGCAGAAGTTGGTGATTCAGCTGCTTCTGCTGCTGCTGCTGCAGCAGCAGCAGCAGCAGCAGCTGCTGGTACTACTGGCACTGCTGCAGCAGCTGCTGGTGGCCCCCCTGCTGCTGCTGCTGCTGATGTGTTGGGCTCTGGTTCCTGCTGTCTTGCTGCTGCAGCAGCAGACAACGCAGACAGAGATGATGGGGGGCTGCTGCCGGAGTCCTTCTTCGACCCTGCTGCTGCTAGCAGCCCTTCTGCTGCTTCAGATATGCAGCAGGGGGCGCAGCTAGCTGGGTTTATATCTCATGGTTATAGTGTAACACCTGCTGCTTCTTCTCCTGTTGCTGCAGCAGGTAGTTTTGCTGCTGCTGCTGCTGCTGCTGCTGCTGATGGTCTATTTGGTTTGAGAGAGGGGCAGCTGTTCTTGCTGCAGCAGCAGCAACATCTGCAGCAGCAACTTGCTGCTACGAGCAGCAGCCCACCGCAGCAGCACCAGCAGCAGCAGCAGCAACCGCAGCCGTTTATACCTGCTGCGCCTGCTGCTGTTGCTGCTGCTGCTGCTCCTGCACCTGCTGCTGCTGTTCCTGCTGCTGCTCCTGCTGCAGCAGCAGGTAGAAGAGCAGCAGCAAAAAGGGCAGCTCCGCAGCTACCATCGACTATACCATCGCGGGGGCTAGCAGCAGACAGCAGCAGACAGACAAGAACAAGCAGTGTTGCTGCTGCTGCAGCACGTCCTGCAGCAGCAGCAGCAGCAGCAAACGTACCCGCAGGCACAGCAGCAGCAGCAGCAGCAGCAGCAGCGGGCTCAGGGGGATCCTTCTCTACCGGCACGAGGCAGCAGCCGCGACGTGGAGCAGCAGCAGCAGCAGCAGGAGCAGCAGCAGCAGCAGCAGCAG